CCTTGGAAGTTGGTTCCAGATCCTAGCCACCCTGACTGTGAAGTAGTGCCTCCTGATGTCCAGCCTGAACCTACTCTCAAGCAATTTATGGCCGTTATTCCTCGTTACTCCTGGTAGTGCTCAGGGGAACAGGGTCACTCCCATTCCCCGCTGGTCCCCCCTGGTAAGTCTATAGATGGCCACCAGATCCCCCTCTCAGCCTTCTCTTGTGGAGGCTGAACAGGTTCAAGTCCCATAGCCTCTCCTTGTAGTGTCTGCCCTGCTGCCCCCAGATCATGCGAATAGCCCTCCTCTGGACCCTCTCGATGCTGGCCACATCCCTCCTGAAGTGCGGCACCCAGAACTGAACACAGTATTCCAACTGTGGCCTGACCAATGTTGCATAGAGGGAGAAGATCACCTCCTTGGACCTGCTCGTGATGCATATGTGGCATGACAAGGTGCAGTTAGCCTTCCTGACCGCATTCTCACATTAGTGGCCCACGTTCATCTTGGAATCGATAATGACTCCAAGATCCTTTTCTGCCTCTGTGCTGATGAGAAGAGAGTTCCCCAGCCTGTAGGTGTGCTGCTGGGTCTTCCTCCCCAGGTGCAATACTTGTCAGTATTGAAACCCATCCTATTCTCATCCGCCCACCCCTGTAACCTCTCCAGATCTAGTTGTAGCCTGTCCCTGGACCCCCTTGTCCAAGTCGCTGATGAAGATGTTGAACAGTGCAGGCCCGAGGACTGAGCCCTGGGGGACCCCACTGCCCACATCCCTCCAGGTCAAAAAAGACCTGTCCACCACCACTGTCTGGGTGCAGCCCTCCAGCCAATTTGCAACCCATCTGACCATGTGGGCATCGACGCCACAGTCGCCTAATTTCTTAATGAGAATGGGGTGAGAGACGGTATCAAAGGCCTTCCTAAAGTCTAGAAAGACTACGTCCACTGCGACACCTGCATCCAAGGATTTTGTGACTCGGTCATAGAAGGCCACCCCATTGGTCTGACAGGACCTGCCTCAAATAAACCCATGTTGGTTGCCCATAAGCATGATCTCCCCTGCTGGCCCCTTGCAGATGCGCTCCTGGATAATTTTCTCAAAGAGCTTCCCTAGAACCGAGGTAAGATTAACAGGCTTGTAGTTTCCTGGGTCCGCCTTCCTCCCTTTCTTGAAAATGGGAACCACATTGGCCCTTTTCCAGTCCTCTGGCACCTCGCCAGAGCACCACGAGTGCTTGTAAAGCTGTGCCAGGGGTCCTGCGATGACCTCTGCCAATTCCCTCGGCACTCTGGGGTGGAGATCATCAGGACCTGTTGATTTGAACACAACTGGTCCCACCAGAAGTTCCCTGACTACGTCCTCACTGACCCTGGGCCTGGCTGCGCCTCCTCTAGGTCCGTCTGGGAACCCAGTGGGGGGGATGTCCCAGTCCCTGCTCATAAAAATGGAGGCAAAGAATTTGTTAAAGAGGTTAGCTTTGTCATCTGGTGTGACCGCCAGATTTCCAAGCATGTCCTGCAGAGGCCTCACATTACCCGGTACCTTCTTTTTACCCTCTACGTATTTAAAAAAAGGACTTCTTGTTAACTTTGATCTGGGTTGCTAGTCCCAGTTCTGTCTCTGCCTTAGCCTGCCTAACAGCCCCCCTACAATCTCGAGCAATGGAGGTATAATCCTCCTTGGTGATGGCTCCTCCCTTCCATTGGGTGTACGCCTCCTTCTTAGCTTTGAGACATTCCTGTCAGACCCAGAAGTGGACCAGAAGTACTTCCAGCCCACTTCCGTGTTCACTGCCAAACACGTGGAGGGCCCCCCCATAGTCCTGTGGGATGCTCCATGTGCCCCAGCATCACAGTGTTCACAAGCCATGCCTGCTACCTCAAGGTATGTAGAAAAAAATTTTAAAGCTGTGTCTATGGCTGAATTTCTGATTCTCCAAATCAGCATCGAATCTTCACATTCGGATTCAGCCAAATCAAATCAGGGACAGTGATCCGAATCAACGAATTGAATCACTGACCCTGATTTGGGCCAAATCTGAATCCGAATTGAATAGGGCCTGCTTCGCACACCCCTAGAATGACTATGTAAGTGAAAGTTATGACAACTGAGATGGAAGCATAAAACAAAACACTTAATGTACTCGGGTCAGAAGGACTCAATAATCTCTATACCAAAGTTCTGAAAAAACTGGTACATAAAATCATAGGTCCAGTAGCAAGCATCTTTAACAAATCCAATAAATAGTTGTTGGTCTATGTAACAGGAGAAACCTAAATGTCATGCTTATATTTCAGAAAGTGAAAAAAATGGTCTTGTCAGCTGCAAGACCATTAATCTCACCTCGATAAGATGTGGTACTTTTTTTTTTTTTTTGAAGAAAATAATT